CAGGGTGGTGGAATGGAGCCCTGCTAGTCGCTCCGCGCTCAGTGAGGCGACTGCTTGAGATTCTCTCTCTCCCTCTGCCCCTCCCCCCTCACGCTCGCATGCACGCGCATGCTCTCTCTTTAAAATAAATAAATAAATCTTTAAAAAAAAGATAGATTAAAGTGTAATATTTGCATAGACATTCAAACACTAAAAGTAGTCTCACTTGTTGGACACAATTAAATTTGAAGACCTTTTCTAATTCATGAGTTCAAGATCTTTTCATGTCCTAGCATCTTAAAATGTGAAGTTTTCTATTTTCCAATGGCAACGGCCTTGGAGCAGTCCTGAAGGATACAATACACTCACGAGAACAGTGACACTGGGCCAGGGCAAGGGGTGGGGGCCACATGCCTGACAAGGGATGGGGAGGGGCCATGAGAAGTTTAAAAATGCTCCCCAAGGGACTCTGACGCACACCCAGAGACGCACGGAGCTCTGGAAGCTGAGGGAGACGTGTGGCCATGCTGACCCTGAACAAAAGAGGAACAAAGAGACCCTGGGGAATTCCACCCGCCTGGCCTGGGTGCTCGGTGTTACTATGTGTTGTGTGCTCCTGGGAAGACATCCCACCATGTCATTTATATTTATTTTCAAGCCAGAACCACACTTTCCACAAAGGGTTCAATTTAATAGAGGAATCAAGTTTGGTAAGAAAGAAATTAAGTTGGGGTGCCTGGGTGGCTCAGTCGGTTAAGCATCTGCCCATGGCTCAGGTCATGATCCAAGGGTCCTGGGATCGAGCCCCGCATCGGGCTCCCTGCTCAGCGGGGAGTCTGCTTCTCCCTCTGCCCCCCTGCCCCCCTGCTCGTGCTCTCTCTCTCTCCCAAATAAATAAATAAAATCTTTAAAAGGAAAAAAAAGAAAAAGAAATTAGGTTTCTAGCCTGTCTGCACCCTCCCCCACCAGCCCCACCCATGCAAAACTGGTTTTTCAATTGAACAATTGAAAATGAACATGTTAGAATCTCAGACTTGGAAAGCAATTCTGAGGATTGCCTGGCCCAATCCTCCCCATCCTACCCACTCCTTCCTTCCACAATGACCTTAACAGATTCATATAACCTTATGAACACTTCTGGTGGTGGGATGCTCACCATCACTCAAAGCAGTCCATCTGAGGTTCCACAGCTCTGATTGATCTGCTTACTGTGAGCAGAAATGTGTCCCACCCTTGGGTCCTGGAGCCTCTGGGGATCACACAGCCCCTTCCTGTGAAGGCCTTGCACACGTCTGAAGTCTCCACTGCCCAGATGTCACACCAAATCCCAGGTGTTTGCTCTGTGAAGAACCACCACCCAGATTCTAACAAAGGCCAGAAGGCTAGGCCTCCCTAAGCTCCTTACCAGAAGCAGGACACCCTTGGTTGTCTTTTAACCATGCCACTCAGCTGCTGAGGAAGTGACAGAAATCTCTAAACTGTCGTCAAGACAACCAAAGTCCAAATACAAATCTCTTTGGGATTCCATCCGGAAGCAGTTTTTAAGTGTACACACCCAGAGGAAATAATAAAATAAAAGAAAGCTCCTCTCCTCCCCCTCCTCTGGCCCTCCTTGGACTCCTCCTCTTCTCCCTTCTCTCCTTCCCTCTCTCTCTCTCCCCTTGCTTTTTGCCACGTGGTGATGTGTGTTAAAAATGCATACTGGGAAGCTTCCCACCTTCGGGGGTTGGAACAGCTGCTGCCTCAATATTGTTTTTGTTAGTTTTTTTTTTTTTTTAACATACTCTGCTGTTTTTAAGGGGGTTGTTTTTAAGCTACATGTTTCATAATACTAGTTTAGGTTACAAAGTGGGACTCTTGGCACTTTATTGACAAGAACAAGACTCCTGGGTCCCAGGTGTCTAATAAGGACCCTTTCCCAGTGTGTGCCCCTTCAAACACCTCGTCCTGCATGGCTGGCTTCCACAGGTGGCCTGCCTTATCCCAGGAAAGGGCATTCACAGAGGCCTAGGAAAAACATGAGAGGGTCCACCCATGAAAATAATGAGAGCCAAGAATTTATAACAGGTAGCCTAAATAAATCCAAAGCTCTGAAGTCCTTGGTTTTTCTAAGAGCACAAAGCATTCGGAGAATGTGCCACGGACTGCCGTGGATTCCATTTGGGAGCACTCACCAAAAGAAATAAGACAGACAAGCTGAACCTCAGAGTCCTGAAAGGCACAGGTCTGGGTAGAGAAGACATGCCTTCTGGCTTACTCTGGCTTCAACCTGTTGCAAATGACCCTCCTGTCGGGAACCTCCAACCGCTAGAGGTTGCAGACTACAGCTAAGAGGGATACAAGTCTGCACTGCCCGTGCCTAAAACAACCTTCTGCCTCAAACGGGAAGTGTACCCTCACGTGTAACCAAGGAGCAATCAGGGCAAATAGCCAGGCACAAAAACACCAGCCCCTCATACTCCCCAGTGAGACAGCCAGACTTCAGTTAGGAGGTCGGCATTCTCGATCACCTTCTCAAAGGGGCCAGAAACAAAGTAATAGGAACAGAGGGCCTGGCTTGTAGGGTCTCAGTCATACTGAGACTTCAGGGAGATGTGGTGGTGGCTGAAAAACAGGAAGCTGAATGCTAGCCACACACAAGACTTCATCCAGAAAAGATGGCCCTCCCAACACAGAGAACAAAGAAGCTCAGGACTCCTGATAAGATTTTAAGGGGACTTTCAGACGTGGCCTTGATTCCTTCTTGTAGTCACTGACCTACAAGGTTCTTTGTCAAATCAAGAGTGAACCCCAAGTGGTTAAAGTGGCTTTGACCTCCCCCAAATGCTATCTCACTCAGACAAGGCCCTCATACGGATGAGCCACTGAGAATACAGCCTATCACACACATCTTGCCCAGGACAGGCCCGGCCAAACCACACGACTTAACAAATTTTACTCAGTGTGGGTGACAAAGTCATTGGCCCTCTGATCTAAACAAGAAAAAACCTGGAGCCACTCAAAAAAACAGAAGGCTGCAGATGTGGTATTACATGGATGAAGCGTCAAAGCCTCCAGCTGCCCAGAAATACCTTCTTGTTCCGGCAGAGCTCTTTCCTGGTAAGCCAGTCTCCTACCAACAGAGCCCCTGCAAAGACCCAGCAAACAAGGGTGAGGCACCGTCTCCAGGAAGCCACTAAAAGAGTATGCTTCATTCTTAGAGATAAAAGAAAAGAAGTAAAGGGACTTCCTCCAGCTATCTCATCTCCCAGGCTTGCTAATTGTCACCCAGGAATCACACGTTAGCAGGAAATGGTACCACGCATCTTAGCAGATCATCTGGTATAATCCTCTGCCTTAAAAGGGAAGATGTTATGATGTCCATTTTATAGATGAGGCAACTGAAGTACTTGCCCAGAATTGCACAGCAAGTGATCCATGTCCTTGTAGAAGGATATAGAGACCCATCCCTGAACAGTGAAGATAATTCATGTTATGGGTAGGGCCTGAGGGAGAAAGCATGGTGGGGGGGGCGCGAGAAGGCAAAACATTTCCTACTTCATTTACTCCCAAGGCCAATCCCCGTGCACACAACACACGTCAAAGTTGCTCTTGATTCCTTGGGACACAACATTCCTTCTAAGTCTCTGAAGGCCTTCCATGAGGCTGAAATGACCCCTCGCAAGGAAAACACGAGATGCCTGGAATTTATGTCGGGACTACGTTGGAGAGCCTGGCTGAGAGTGAAAACCACCCCTGCAACAGAGGAAGACCAGGACAGGATCCTTTGCAGATCCCAGCTGTGGCTGAGCAAGCCAGGAAGGCGGGCACACCAGGGAGTTTGTGCCCAGGCTAACAGCAAAGGGAGGGCCTTTGCCAGGTCTTCTGGAATTCTAGCCAAACCGGATGATCTAGTGTAAGTGACAGTTCTGGCAAAAGACAGTGACCGGAGACAGTCAAGAACATTGTCCAGCCAGAGGTTCCAAAAGAGCCTAGATGGAGCCTAGACACTTGGCTGGTCTGGTACAATTCAATCCTAACCTGGAATCATTTCCTCATTATAGGAGTCTCTACCTCCCTCCTGATAGCCAGTTAGCACTTCTTTTAAATAACAATGTGTCTCCCCCTTTGCTGCTCTTTTTGTAGGAAATAGTTTTCTTGGGAGACAGGATTTGCCAGGGGCAGTACCCTCGGCATCGATGCCAAAGGCTGCTGGAAACACGGCTTAAAACCAGCTCTTTCAAAAGAAGAAATTCTGGAATTTGATGTGGGCACCCAAAAGGAAATGACCCTTGATATTATCTGAGCTCTCGGCGGCGGGTTTCCAGAGACTGTCCTGCATCACCTGACAGGTCTGCCGAGGCGAGGGGCTGGGGAATTGGTTTCTATCTGTGTTTCTGGCTTCTTTCCCATTTCCTCAGACCGAGAAAGACCCACTTTGGGAGGGGAAGCGGTGATCCGGGAGACTTTCTCATCCTGCCTTCTTTCTCCGGAGCACGGAAGTTTCCGAGGCGCTAAGCTCTCCAATGCTTATCCCTTCGCCTTCCAGCCGGGGCATCCCCTTGCGTTTGCTCGCCTTTGGCTGGGCTTTCTTTCTCCCCACGCCCTCACCGCGCCCGCCCCCCCCCCCCAAAGTGAATAGACCCATTGCCTCCGGGAGGCAAAAAAGATCTGGAGCCTTGGCTGAGTAACCTGAAGTTTCCGCCGGAAGGAAATTATCAAAGGCGAAGGAGAAAGCCCTCAGAGGCCGGAGGGACAGCGGCGGCGGCGGCCAGGAGCGGCGGCCGCGCTGCCTGTCCTCGCGGAGGGTCCTGGGGCCCGGCCTGGCCCGGCCCGGCACGAGCGCCGCGGGGCCCCAGCGGATCCCGGCAGACGCGGCGGCGGGGTGAACGAGTGAGAAACTCCGGGGCAGGCTCGAACCCGACCACCGCCGGGCTGGGAAGAGGGGGCGCACGGACAAGGGGGGCGCAGGGGACGGTGGGGCGGGGGGGGGACACGCACGGACGTGGGTGTCCCCCGGCGGGTGGCGGCGCAGGACTCACCCCGAGAAGACACACTTTGAGCTCCCGTATCGCCATCATGTGCTCGGGGCCGGACCGGGCAGGGGCTCAGCATCCTCCGGGGACGGGGCCGCGCCGCGCCCGCGCCCAGCCAGCGGCCTCCAGTCTCCGCCTTTCGCTCGCTGCAGCCCGCGGGCGGGACCGCCGCCGAGGCTATTTCTGGGCCGCCGGCCCCGCCGCGGTTGGTCACGTGGCCGCCGGCCGGCTCCTCCCGGGGCTTCGGGTCTAACCTCGAGGGCCCCCGGCTCCCAGGAACGCCCCCAGACGGCGTCAGCCACCCCGGGGCAGCCCCCGGGACCTGCGGCGTCACTGGCAGAGTGCCTCCTCCCTCAGACCTACGCAGCGGCCGGACCCTGCTCTGCTGAGCCCGCCTCTGGTATCTGCCCCTCCAGCCCCGCCCGGCCGCAGTGCCCCGTGGAGTGTAAGGAGGACAGGATCTCCCCGTGGGGGGAGACCCCACGGATGGCTGCGTCCCCGAGGATTCCATTCCTCATCTCCAAGTGGATGCTGCCAGCTGAGGTCCTTTATGCGGGAGCACTTCGAAGTCCGCCTGCAGTCCCATCGTTACATGACACCCTAGGATCCCCGCAGAAATGAAGCCAAGACATAACTGTGAGGATGAGAAGGAACAGTTAACTTTGCAACCCACCTTCTCCTGCAGTTCTAATGCGAGGGTTTCGACTAACTCCCGTGTAGTTCTTGAAAATGGTTCTAGAAGCAGGGGGTCTGTAACTTCCTCCAAAACAGATGTGTCCCTGCCTGAAAAAGGAAACATGCATTGTAGAGAGGAAGCTGCCTTGCTCAGTATAGAAAATGCTATAATTTGCCTGGGCAGACACCCAACCCTCAGAAGTATAGCTAGAAATATGTCGCTCCCGGTGCAGACCATTGTCCCTTAACCAGCAAATAAAAAGAGGCTCTGGCTTGAGACAGTCAAGGAAGTCTTGTGGGACCTGTCCTCTTTTCTCCATCCATAGCCCAGTGAACCTCATCCACTGAAATGACTTCACTTGTTGCTACTATAGACAAGTCAGCTTTTTGGACATATCCACCCGAATAATCTACTGGCATTTTAGATCAGAAATAAAACGTTTTTTCTTAAACTTCATCCCCAATCCCAAACTCTCAGGCCTCTCTCCTGACTTGCCAATTTTGGTTGATGACATTTCCATTCCCCCAGTGGACCACCCACTTTCAGTATCTGGCTTTGTTCCTGTTGAAGCCATATTGAGGCAACCTAGCGCCCACGTAGCCCCATGCAGTGGGAGCTTCCGAATCAAGACCTCCAGAGAGAAAAATCCTAGATCTCTAGAATCAAGACAGGCCCCCAAATTGACAATTGGCAATTAAACTCCCCAGAGCAGCAGGGTCTTCTGCTGGCCAGGTACAGGCTTGTGGAGGGTTACTCGCACAAATCTGGACTACATGGTTCAAAAAGCAGCCACAGACAAGATGCGGGTCTTATTCAATGTGGAGATTATTGTATCAGCATCTGTCCTTGGTTTAGTATCCAAAGCAAGGACAGCCTTTTACGTGAGCAGTGAGAAAAGAGTTCTGCCCAAAATTACCCAGCCCTGGTCACAATACCTCCCTGTCCTCAGATTTGCTGAGCAGAGAGCAAGGGCAACACAGTTGCAGAGACAAAGCATGGTATGTGGCCATGGGCTCCGTGACCAACGCCGGCAGCAGCCCTGCCCAACACCCCCACTGTCCCCGGCAGTATGGCTTGAGTCTCCATGTACTGTCACTTGCCTTTGGCCTTTCTTCTCTCTTTCCAAAAGCCGATCAGACCAGAATGGAAGGCTTTCCGTTTTCTCTGCCCTATGGAATGAGTGGGAATTTGTAAACTTCAACAGGTCACCGAGGGCAGGACCATCCCTAGACAAAAATGAGCTGACAAAATTTCTCTTCCATTCCCTTACCCTTTTTCATGATTCTTCTCCTTCCATGCTCTTCTCCACTAGCCTAGCTGTTTGGGATGCTTGTGCGGTTTCTAGGCTCTCCCAAAAAAATCCCTTATCCAGGTCTCCTTCCCCAGGTTCCCAGACTCGCCCCAGTCTGTTTATCCTTCTCCCCACCCCCAGCCCCATTAAAAATCACCTCATTTGGGGCACCCGAGTGGCTCAGTTGTTTAAGCATCCAACTCTTGATTTCAGCTCAGGTCATGATCTCAGGTTTGAGAGATTGAGCCCTGCGTGGGGCTCCGTGCTGGGCCTGGAGTCTGCTTAAGATTCTCTCTCTCTCTCCCTCTGCCCCTCCCCCCTCCTCTCACTCCACCCCCACTCTAAAAAAAAATCACCTCATTTGTGTCAAATTCCGGTCAGTCAGAGTGCTCTGCTTTACAGAGTAGCAGTCCTAGCTTGTCAACTGGGCCCCCTTCCTCAGCCAGGTCACCCTGGGAAACTTAAAACTGGCCTCATGAAAAACCTGGTCTACATGATCATCCCAAGGTGATGCATAAGGCTCTCGGCCAGGAAGGAGGGATGATGACTACTATGACACATATTTTGGGAATGACAAGATCCTGGGTAGCTCTCAACTTTTAAAGATATAATGTTCTCTATGAATGCTATTATTATACTCTTTGATTACTGTGCTAAGGGCCTGTCCTGACTCCTTTGGAATTTTCTGCATATGAAGAGGTTCTGATATAACTTAAGCAGAGATCAACATTCAATGATATATAACCGAGAACTTATGAAATAAAATAAAATAGAACATTCAAGATTTCTTAATGAGACCTTTGTAAAGTAGAAGGTCACTGTACTAATTCAGACTCCTGCCTTTCTGCTGCTTTAAAGTGTTCAATGACAGGGCTCCTGGGTGGCTCAGTCAGTTGAGTGGCTGCTTTGGGCTCAGGTCATGATCTCAGGGTCCTGGGATCGAGCCCTGCATCAGGCTCTCTGCTCAGTGGGGAGTCTGCTCCTTCCTCACACTCTCCCTCTGTGTTTTCTCTCTCTCTCTCTAATAAATAAATAAAATCTTTAAAAATAAATAAAGTCTTCAATGGCACCAAACAAGACAAAATCCAAGCTCTTCAGGACATCTTGGCAATACCCTGCCCAACCCAGCCTCTCTTCTGCCCACATGGTGAAACCCATCATCCTTCAGAGACCCACTCAGATTTCACCTCCTTAGTCAAGTCTCCCCTCAGCTTCTACATACTTGCTCAGGCTTCTCTTAGCATCTACTCAACATAAATAAAGGAATTAACAACTAAATCCCCTTTACAAGTCAGGGTCCAAACAGATTGGCAGATGGAATTATCCATCTCTATGAAAGGTACCCATAGATTATACCAAGGATCATCTCTGTTTTACTAGAGTTTAAAAATGACGAGTAATGTCTTAAAAAGAAAAGTGACTAGGAATGAATGGTTTTTTTACCTCAGCTAGGACTTTTCTCTAGCAGGATCTTCGGCCTCTTATGCTATTCAAGCAAGACTACTTTTGTGGGTCTCCGGGTCATGCATGATACGGCCCTGGGATCCAGGGGCTATGCACAGAATGGATGCTTGAGCCTGGATACTCATCCTTGGACTGCATCTCAGAAGGTTCTGCATGTGATGTCTTTTCAAAGAAAAGAGGAATTCTCCAACAAGTATTTAGAGTAAGTCTACCAAGTGACTAGAAAGTGACTGGGAAAACCACCTCATTCTTTCTTTAAAAATCTAGCAAAAGCCAACAAGAGCCATAAAACTGGTCATATTTTCTGATCCAGCAAATCCGTTTTTGGACAATCACGGAGAAATAAGCACAAATAGTGGACCAATATAAAGCCTGCCTTTTGGGGCACAAACATGCATGAAAGAAACAAAGAAATACGGGAGAGAACAGAAAAATCATCTCTGCCAAGATAAAGGGAGTGGAACTGCATCCACGGCAACATTGAAAGGATGAGACAACTGACATCCCTTCACCCTCAGGGATTAAGCAAGCAAACGACACACTTTGCTAGGGTATGTTTAATGGTACACAGTGGTGTGTGTCGCCTAGGTGGTAAATGAAATGTGTATACTAGGTAGACTTACAGAGAAATTTGTAGTAGATCAGTTTCTGTGAGAATCACATGACACAAAGTTGGGTCTGCATGTTAAATAGGATAAGCCACACAAATGTGTTACCGCTCCCCAGACTGCAGGCTGATCTCAGCGGGCCAGGTATGAGTCATCTGGTCTGCTCGAGGGCCAGTTAAGGAAAAATTAAAATGTTTTCAAACCTTGTTTTTAATAATTGTATCTTTCTTTTATGGAACTTTAGTGTCTGCAATATTGGTTAAATAGCCTTTCAATGTATCTCATTTTCTGAGCCCTTCCTTCCTTCCCTCCTTCCTTTCTTCCTTCCTTCCTTCTTTCTTTCGTTCCTTTCTTCCTTCCTTCCTTCCTTTCTTTCTTTCTTTCTTAAGTTTTGGATATTTTCTAACTAAGAGACATGCTGCTCTCTCTCATTTGTAATTCAGATCCCTTAAACACATTTTGAGAAGCGAAACTCCTGGACATACCAGTTAAGCCAGCGATTTGAGGGATTTTAGGAAAGCAGAAGTGAAAGGGCCCCACGATTCACCCACAGACTCAGAGAAGGAGAAAGCAGCCTAAAAGGGATTCTGAGTTGCTGGAGATGCCTGAGAACAGAAGAAGCTTCCATCATGGAGAGGAGAATGGTCCCCACGCACCTGGAATGGGGCAGCATGGTGAAGGGTGTGGTAGGTAAGTGGATACACATTCCTCTGTGAGTGACTCTTCTCCCTTAGCCACTCTGAATGTCTTCATCTTCACATAGAAAGGATGGTGGCATCTCTTAGAAGCTCAGAAACAGCAGCTGGAGAAGTTAATGAGCTGTCAGCTCTTCAGACAAATGGATGGAAGAGGGCCAAGGCCCATTTTCTTCATTGTCTCCATTACCACCTGAATGGAAGTACTCAGAAATGTTCAAGAGCAAGCAGATCACCCAAATCAAAACAAGGGAGGCCTCCGTTGGGCTCTCACAAAGGATTGGTGGTAAGTGGTAATTTTTAGATTTTCCTGACATACCTCCCTGGGTCTCCACACTGAGCACCTCCTCACCTAACTGGCCTCTTCATGGACACTCCTGCCCATCAGCCTCTAAAGTCTTTCCAATCCCTGGTTGAGCTGAAAGGGTTGAGTTAAAAGAAGATACAAGATATGTATTAACACCTCCCACAAAATATAAATGAATGGATTCAACGGGGAGACCACCTCCCAAAACCCATTGCTTATTTGTAAAATTGAGAAATGAAATTACAATGATGCAGCCCAAAGTCAACCCAATTCAGTTTCATTTCTTAGGCCATCAGTAGGTTGTCTTTTCCCACCGTTCATGTGAGTTTC